ATGCCGTTCGAGTCGAACAGGATCTCATTTACGACGTAGGCAGACAATTGTCCGGCGTTAAATCATACCGGACAAGCGTTCGACATCCCCAACAAACGCGTGTACACGTGGGCGTTCTCCTCCCGAGGTGAAAAATACTTGACCCACCACACCGAGAACCCTCTTTTCCACCCTCCTTTCTGTTCGCTCGGACGTTCGAGCAGTAAAGCGGCGCAAGTTGCGTTTAACGAGCTACACAGAGGCCCTAACTCATCGTTTCGAGAGACTGTTTCTCCACGAAATCGAATCTCTTTCCACGTACGCCCGAGCGAAAGTGCAGGGTCTTCGGGAATATTTGAATGGTACGTTCGGTAGAATAAGAAGAGATCTCATATTCGAGGTTACTTCAGCTCAAGTTCGAGCAAGATCGTGCGAAACAAATGGCTATTTCGAGTGTCGCAACCCCGTCTCGTAACGGTCCCGCTTATTTGCCAATCCAAATAAGGATCCACGTTGACCGATCGATCGACGCGAAGCTGTTAAAAATGATAACTGGTTCGACGCGTGTTATTACGCTTCTCGACCGACCATTTCCTCCGCGCATTGTTCCCAATGTTTTACGAGGAGACGCGCGCCGGTAATGGGTAAGTAACAAGGCTGCGTTAATACCTCTTAAACTTGGCAAATTTACGAGCACGCCGTTCGTATCGTCGTTAAATTGCATAATCTAGTCGAATATATCATTGCCAAGAAATTTTCCCAAAGCTAACCTGTTTGTGACTGCGCGGAAAGGTTGCTCGCGGGGGAAAAAAGGGTGGAAAGACGGTGGAGAACTGACACGGTTTTATTTTCTCGCCGACGTTCACCGGAGGAACCAGTCGGCGGTCCAAGGATAATGGAGACCGGAGAGGAGTCGAGGAACTGATATCGGTGCATTGGCCACGGTAAATTCTCCGGGTAATTGGCGAGCAGCGAGGTCCGGCCCGTGGACATCGATGGATAACGCGCCGCGGCGAGCGTAATAGGCAACACGCCGCGGTTCACGACATAACCTATGTACGCCGTGGTAAATTCTCGTGGTAATTGCGAACAAGAAGAGGCGCGGAGAGTGTGGGTGCTGATGGAATCCCGAGGGAAGGATAATGGCCCGAAGGGGTGAACGTTTCTCTCTCTCCTAACGCGACACAAAGCTTCGCGGCGAGGAAGGCTTACCACTCTCGAACGGAGGGACTTGGACGAGCCGTGCTAACAAACGGAATTACAAGCGTGCGATATTACGATATCGGGTATCCTCTTTGGAATACTTTGTGTCCCATGGTTTTATCCGCGCGAAATTTCACCCTCCCGCCGGTGTAACACCGTGAAAAAACCCTGCAAATGTATGCGCATAATGCGCCGGACAAGGCGTGATCGTCTCCGTGGGAAAGGATTTTACGTTTCGCCAAGGGGGACCTGTGGTAGTGACACGAAAGTTTTAGGAACGACCATTGGTGGTTTTTAGTACCTGCTGCGTTTATCGGATGTTGTTAGCGACACGTTCAGTGAAGGGAATCACTTATAGAAAAGCTCCAAGTGTCGTTAAGATTTTTCTCGGCGAGAAAGGATGCGTAACATTGGATAACAGAGGAAAACGTGACGCGCCTTGACAAACACCGATGCTTCTAAGATTTTACTTTTTTTTGTCGATGCTGCGGGAGTATCACTTCGACACGGGGGTTTATGTTATAGCCGAAGGTTCCTCGAACTTTCAATAAACACCGGAGAGTATGTACGATTGGTCATGTAACCGAGCGACAAGTAGAATCGACGTGGAATTCTTGCAATAATTGCAAAGTAGAAGAAGAAGTGCAGGAGGCGCGGGTGCACTTGGAATCCCAGAGAAAGGATAATAGCCGTGGAACGTGTCCAGCCACGGCGAGTATCGTATACCTCGGATATATACTGGACGGGAACGTACCGCTTGGAGGTATCGGTTTTAATACGCCGCGCGAACATAATTTAACCATGGGACTGTCGACGGATAAAATATCGCCGGCTGGCCTACACGGACGCTTGTAATCCAGCCTTTTAGAGGAACAGTACCGGCGAATTAAAGTCCACGGATGCCTTGGTGATCCGGCTGAAACGTGGATCCTGCTGGCAAAACGATTCGTTCCACCGTACTGTACACCTTTGTAACAGGGAAATCATCCGATAAATCTACCTAGGAGGATACTCGAATAATTCGACCAAGAGAAGCGACTCCGCGATGGTTCCAGTCTGATTGGAGCGAGCGAGAGAGAAGGAGAGACTGCTCGAATTCACGATAATTGGAACGATTAACGAGCAGATTTCTCTTTTACTCGGAATGCTGTCACCCGAAAGTCGACGCGAGGCGTGACTACCAATGCAGAAGAATCACTTTTTCTTTCCTTTTTTTTTTCAATTTCTTCGTCGAATTCTTTGTATCAGCGAAAAGACGGAGGCTCGCCGTAGATCGAAGTTAGAAAAGGGTCGAGGGATTTAACGCGAGGTAAATAGGTAATTCGAGGCTATAATTTCGAACAAAGAAACGATCACGACCTCCTCTATCCTGGACGATAATGGAAAAGCTACGGAGTCGTGAGGTAATTCATAGTGGATTTTTTTCGTTTTTGCAAGAATTCACCTCGGGGGCCGCACCCTGCGCCGCCCAAACGTAATCTCGGCAATATTTCTACCCGAGAGTCCTTGACGCCGCGGCTGAGATTGGGGGCGGATAAATTACGGGGCGTAAACTGCATCCTGACGGTAAATTACTCGATAGCGGTAGACGATACCCGCGGAACGTGGCGCCTACGCGTGAAACCGCATCTACTCTTCCACGATCCTAGGATACCTCCACCGGAATACCCATCTTTCCGTTCAGCTCGCAGAAAAACAATTTGAACTCGTTAACTCGAGGGAAGTTCAGATTGAATTCCGTTGGAAGAAACACGGTTGTGTCTTCTTGATTACCTCGAGCAACGTTTTCTTCTCTTCTCTCTTTGCTGGCAAAGAGAAACCTATTCTAATTTGTCCGCGATTTATATCAGAACGGAATCGTCGAAGGTGTATCGAGGGGGGAATAAATTTGAATACCCGTAGGCACAAGGCGCGTGGCTGCGCTCAGCTGTTTTCACGGATAACGTCTTCGTCATGCCGCGTAGCGGTGTATCTCCGGTGAGAAAAAGAAAAAAACTATGGAAAGCAGCGTGGAAGGTCGGGTTCCAACGGATCCCTGCATTGTAGCTTCGCGACGTTAAAGAGAATGTGGTTAAGTCGCGTTTGCAATACGATATAAACGTCGCGGGGTGTGAAGCTCTCTTCTCCCACACTTTTTTCCGCTACCGATGACCTGGGCAGGAATCGTGACCTCGACGAGAGAATCGAACGTCGCTCCTATAATTTCTACGAGAGCATCGATTTCCCAACCAGCTATAATTTAATATCGTTCCAGCTATCAAAGTTCACAGGCGGCTCGTAGCGGATGTACGTTACGGCGTAGCGCGTTCCTTGTTAACCGATGGGAATAAGATTTCTGATTCTATCCGACAGTCGCGGCGGGCGAGCACCTCCGGCGAACGATTTCGCAAAAAGGATCGTTTCCACGGCGAGCCCATCAACCGTGTTACCGAAATAGGTTACAACGCTGTTAACATTCCCCCTTTTCTTCCGTTCTTTTAATTCATAAATCGAATCTCTTCTAGATCGGCACCTAGCTTTTGCAATCGGTTCGTTTAACGCGCCGGTTCAATATTCCGCTACGTTTCGCTTTTAGTTTCTTCGGTTAGAAGCGAAATCGATCTTTCGTCGATATCTACCCCTCGGTTTGTTTTTTCCAATTTCCAACGTTAGACGCGGTTTCCGTCGATTGTCCGCAGGAAGGATCGACGGGGAGAGAAACTCTTGCAATCGTGCACCACGGTGGGTGGGTTTCGCATGCGAAACGACCGATTTGCGAAATCCACCGCCACGGTGGCCGCAGGCTTTAACGGAGGCGCCTGGGTGAATCAACGAAAATTAACAGCCGCGAAATTGGACTGAATTCGTTAGTACTGGGAAACGGTCGGGATAGAACTAGTCGACGAGCTGATCTACAATTTTAATCCAACTGGTATTCCCTTAAAAAGAGGGTCGGAGGAAAAGATTATTTAAAAATATAGTTGGCGTTCGTTGAAAGGCGTCTCGCGGATAAGAGCTAACGAGTAGCGAATTTTTCCCAAAACGGTCCAGGTGAATTGAGCCGATCTTGTTATTCGAGGAAGCGTTTTAGAGCGTGTCACCGTATTTGGGGCTCGGAACCGGCGTGAACAGCGTGGAAAAAAAGAGGTTCCCGGGCACCCTTGGGGCACACCCTCGGGGACCAAAAGCATACTCCGCTCGATTTCCGCGTGTACCAGTTATCCAACGACCCGAGCATTACGTAAACTGACATTTTCGCGGCTAATGCGAGCTGGCCAACGAGCAGGCTGTCAGGGTTCAGTGGCAGAGATGACGATCTTTTCTCCAAACTACCCTTACGTAACAATCGTCGAACAATAGACATTACATATCGTGAGATTCTAATTGCGTTTTTTTAGTTTTACTTCATCATCGGTACACTTGGAGGTTGTCGCCTCTGTAATTTCATTTTGTTGGCTGATTCTTTGCGTCGAAACAGGTGAAATATCACTTGTACATTACGTAACGCAAACTATTCGAGATATTTAAATACAGGCTTGTGTCGCGTCGCCGTTCACCGCTGCGTCTACGATCAGTTTTCCTCGCCGACCTTCGTCGGTGATTTAAAGGCACCGGCGCCAACTACGCTTCGCGCGGATCGAACTTGCACGAACGAAGGCTGAGTCGAGCTGTCCGCTTGGAAATAGAAGAGGAAACGAGGAAGCAAAAAATGCCAACAAGAATTTCACGGTTACACGCGAACGGTGATATAGTAGAATTCCAATTCGAACAATTCGTCACTGTACAAGACCAACGATGAAACTAAGAAAAAGAGAGAAAAAGAAATGATTCAAACTCACCCACTCTCGACATGACCGCCAGCAGGAGCAACACGCTGTTAACGACGATCATCTTCGACTACCCCGTTGGTTGATCCTGGGTCTCTCGACGAAATCAAACGTTCCCAATCGAATTTCGATCGTTGCTTAGCTACTCGAAGCTACGTCCAAGTAGTTCACGCACATAAACGCGTCGACAGCGAGAGAGAGAGAGAGAGAGAGAGAGAGAGAAGAAAAAGGGCGAAAGAAGAAGGGTGGTGGCGATGGGACGTAACGACGCTGTACGTCGCGTGGCCGACTCCGCCTGGATGTTGTTTGGCCGCGGCACCGATGTCCTCTCGTGTTTTCCTCGCGAGAACGCGTTTTTACCGAGCTCGATCCCGGTCGAACCAACACTGACAACCTTCTGCCTCTCTGATCGCGTTCCTCTGGCTCCGGGAATTCGGTGAAAAAATCGGGGGTAGAAGGGGAGGGAAGGAGGCGAGAACGGTGGAGAGCCGGAGGCAGCACAACTTGGATGTGGCGCCGTTCAAAGCCGCGAGGAGAGCTCCATCGACGTCGCAAAACATATGCTACGGTCACGAGGAGAGAAAGGTGACTGGGTATACGCAAGGCGTGCTCAATACCTCCTGTCTTCTTGGCATAGTCACCTTTCTAGCAAACCAGCAACAAAGAAGGGAGTGTTGGTGCTATATCGCCTGCCTGGCCACCACCATTCTCGCGCGGCTCGCGATCGCTAGGACCGATGGTGGTGGTGGTGGTGGATCGTGCTCGCGTCGCTGCTGGTCGTTGTTCAAGGTGGTGGTGGTGGTGGGAACGCCGATCTCTGTCTGCGCAGCCTTCCACCGTCGAATCCGCCTTCCTTCCATCACATTTTTCCCCGCTTCGTCGTATCGGTATAACCCTGAAACGATTCTCGGCTTACGTGACCGGCCCTCCAGCGTCGAGAAAAGTTTCACGTTGATCCGCGTCCTCTTTCTCCTGTAAACGAAATGCCGAGGGTTAGTTCGGGACGTTTCGTTCGACAACGTGCGAGAGGGGCGCTCGTAAAGCCGAGTGAAATATTCCTAGGTTTCCTTCCGTCTGACGACAGGGGGGAATTTTCAACAGGATATTAGGTTTCTAGAGGAGACACAGCTCTACGGTGATAAATTGAGAAGTACGATCGTTCGAACGTAGTAGAAAAAGAAGAAATTGTGAATATTGCTGTGGCGAAGCAGTAGGTTCGTATAAAAACTTTATTTGTTCCTTGGCCATATAAAATCACCAATATTTCTTCAAATACACCTTACTTTGACGCAACAAGATTACATCGACGATCAGCTTTAAATTAATCGAAACAAATAAACCCCATCGATCGGCTAAGTAAAGGTTCCGAGTATTTATATCTCCTTTTCTTTTTTCTTTTTTCTTTTTTAGCGTCAACGTTCTTCCAAAATACTCTCCTCTCGTGGTAGAATTAAAAAGTGGATGATTTTTGTACGGTAAGAAATTTCCTTCGGAGCAAAAGCGATCAGTGTTTTACACAGTCCCGTACGTAACTAAATTTATAAGGTGAAGAGAACGCAGAAAAGAAGAATCGTATTTATTCAATGATAATAACACGTTAAATACAATTTAAAAATGATTTACATCAACAGGAAACTATTTTTATAAAAGAAAAAGGGGATTCTCCGTTGCTGCAAACTCTTCAAGTATCGAAATCAGCGATACGATAAAAAATATGTAACATTTCTCGTAATAACATATATATATATACACACACACACATATATATATATATATATTATGACGCGTAACGTTATTCGCGATAAAAAAATGCCATTGGTGGAATTACACAGTCCATCTTTCCTTCTTTTTCTTTTTTCATCTGTCAATCCTGCCTCCGACGATTACGAATATATCACATGATAATTATAAACGTATCACATATATATGCATGTATGTATGTATATATATATATATATGTACATTATTCTTCATTCCTTACACATTATGGAAACACAAATACGGCGTCGAGTTTACCTACGCGGATCATTTACTCCCCCCCCACGGGCGTACCAGTAATAAATGAACGTAAACGACTAGACGTACTTGCGATATATTGTCACAAGTAATTTCTTACTTCCTTTTAAAGGTCTCCTGAGAGCAATCGATAACTTTTCTACGCGTTTCATTTCACGCATACGAACAAAAATCTACGCAACGCATTCTCTGCTGTGTGTACACGTGGCTATGTGTGTGTGTGTGTGTGCGTGTAGAAGTATACACAGGAATACATAAAAAACCTTGAAATACTTTCCTACGTATTTGAGTACAATTTACGAATAATCGTGTGCCTCGAATACATAGAGAAAAAACTACGAACGACGCGATACGTACAGCGGTATACACATTGAGAAACAAATGAAATTGTTTACGTAAACTTACGTTTATTGCGACGTCGAGAACGGCTGAGCAGAAGGCGAAACATTGACTTCCCCGAAACGTACAAGGACAATGGCGTTTAATAACCGCACGGCTTACGCTACGAAATACTATTCTTTTATTATATAAAAGTCGAACGGTAAAAAGTAACGGTAATCGATATAGCTGGAATAGCTCTCAGATAGTCCAAGAAAGTTGGTAAGCTGCACAATTAGTTTCTCGAAACAGATCAGTTTTTTTTTTTCTTGTTTTTCGTTTAAATACATTCATCCCTGAGGCTACTACTCGAAACGCAATCCGGACAACAATTTATTGTTATTATTATTCTTCCTTTTTTCTTCTGCTTCTTCTTCTTCATCTGGCTTATATAAAATATTATCTGCACACGATGATTATTGTTTTTCAACGATTAGAGAAAAAGTAAGCGCTTGGTAAATTTGGTATCGAGCGATTTGCATCAATTGACTATGATTAGAGAATACTTCGTATCGCGTAGCTTCCAAAAGGCCGGTTGTTTTTTTTTTTTAGTTTTTCCCTTTCAAGTCGAAGAATTTGCCAAATAACGTTCGTTTTCGTTTTTATTACATGTTTGTTCTTTTTTTGTTTATTTTGTCGTTTTATTAATAACTATGAAACGATTCGTATGTACATCAATTTGAATGTCACGGCAATATACGCGACAACGATCGCACGTGCCGTGGCCCGATTCAGATTCGAACAATATTACAAGATACCCCATAATATATACTTTGTACAAAATTCATTCTTGCGAGTACATAAAAGCGCAGAGTATCGCCATTCCTCGAGACTGAAAGACCTTCTTGATTTGCTGCCCGACAACCACTCGAGATAACAGTGGCTCCCTCTTTTTTTTCTTTTTTACTTACAACGTAAGTTTTCTCTATACACATTTCGGATTAGCCTCTAGCGTGCGCACGCAGCCGTAATAGCAATATGCGCCACTATTTAATCGAAATATTTGAGACTGTATAATTATAGGATGTCCGTATCGAGGGTAGATAAACTGCGTAACTGATAAAATATCCTGTATAATACTAATTACTAACTAATTCAATTTGCCTATACTTCTTGCGCAAGTTGCTTACAGAGTCTTTGAACAGAACAGGGTCAAGCCTCATATTAGATCGTAACAACGGCATATACCCGAAAACGGCTACAAACGTATTCATGCACGTTTGCCGCTGTATAAAGTGATCTGGATCGTTCCATGGGGATCTGAAAACGTTACGTGTCAAAAAAACAAGAAAATAATCAAAGTTGCCCGTTAAAAGTACGATATTCTGCTACGCAGGTACGCAGGCCGGCTGTTTTTGTCTTGAAATACTTTTAAAACGATGGAAAATTTGTATTTAAAACGACTCACCAGAAATGACGCAACAATTGTGACATAGTCAAAAATGGCGGGAAAGGGTACACAACGATTTCACCATAAAATGCACAATACTTTTAAAATAGACTGTATTATTCACAAAATCTTAGACTTAGCCACTAATTGAATCGTTTTATTAACACCTGGTGAAGAAACGAAGGCGAAATTAACGCGAAAACGTAATAAATTTAATCGCGGATAGCACGAATGCGCACGTCAGTTGCGATCTAACGACAGAAACTGCAGAATTTCGATCAGCCAATCAGAGTTCGACAATTATGAAAGAATCGATATGTGGAGCAATCGATTAAGCGATTTACGATCTCATTGGTTAACGTTGAATTGTTCAAATTCTAACGTATTTCAGTTTGAAAGATGGCTGTGAGTGCGCGAAATTTTTCGATTGTACTGGAAAAAGTGAGAAATTGTGGAATGTTTGGCTGCGAGGAAGGTGAAAATGGCGATGGGCGGGAAAATGATATCTACCTGCGTAGCAGTTCGACAAGGGTACGTAATACATACCTGATTCCAACCACAGTAGTATCTTTATACAATTTCCGTTGAGTTACTTTAATAGGTGGTCTTCGCGTAACATGACTTACTAAAAAATTCATAAGTATGTCCTCGCAATTTTGCGATTGCTCGACAGTCTTGTGAAGTGTCGAACTTAATAATTCGGTATACAACGTATTATAGTAACGATGATAAAAGGCGGCACCAGTTAGAATTATACTATAGTCATTTGTCCATTTACTTGTGTAGCCCCACGAACGCTTTATGCGATAAAAAAAAAAAAACGACGCGTACGATAAAATATGGTAAATATTAGAGAAAATAATACCGGCAGAGTTAAACTTACTTTGGAATCGTCCCAGTAATGCGACCTTGCTGGGTAACCAACTATTCGATCAGGAAACGATCGCCAAACGGTAAAGGCGAAATCAATTTCATCTGTATTGAGTGTGGCATCTTCGTCTAGAGATAATATGGCACTAGTTTTGATTAACGGGTGAGGATAGAAACGTTGGGATATACCATCGACCGTAACAACGTGTATTGACGCTTTGATCCCTTGCCATCGTGGTCTCCTTGGTAACGGAATGTCCGAGTTCCACATTAGAATAATCTAAAGTGGGGCATCGTTCGTTAGTAACAAGTATAAAAAATCGGATGATTTATAGGCTTGACTCACCTTATCTAGGTATTTGCTTTTCGCGAGACTTTTAAGCAGACGATATAGAACAGCAGTGGATCCCAACTGCGAGTAGATGATGGCAGTGAAGGTATTACCTGGATTACTTTTCGAAAATGGAAGTTCTTGCTGACTATCAGCAAATTGCGGTAATATCGTTAACGCTCCAGGACTAGTATTCCAAACAAATTTTTCCCTTGTACCTTCCCAAGGTAGACGTTCGCGAATATTCTGTAGATTTGATCGATAATTAGGAAAATTTGAAAATCATCTTCTCACCGACTTTCTTTCGTTTTACGACCATACCTCAAATACTGTAAATACAATTTTTTCTATCGACGAAAAGTATCGTTCCCAAAGGAATTGCGTCTGTTGTCGTAGTTTAAGGATCTGTACATTGGACACAGACCGTACTATATCTGGAATCTACGGAAATAAAATTTATTTGTAGATCTGTTTTTCGTCTATTCTTCGGTAAAGGCTTTTATTTTCATTTTATTTACTTGAAGTAACAGTCTTTCGTCAGAAAATATAACAGCTTGTGTCCAATCGATACGTTCATGAAATGGAAGTGCCCAGCCATTACTTAAAATAACTGGAATGCATCCAGCTCTTAAAGCTTCTAAAAATCGAAAACTACCAAGTCTTCTTCCTCTTGGTACAAGACAAAAGGTAGCATTCATTAGTAAAATTTCATAATCATACCTGAAATTATAAATTAAACGTTAGATCTTCCAATTAGAGCAGAGTTTGTTTAGGCTATCTCATCTGAATACTGACGTATCATATTCCTGATTATCTTGTTGACAGTGTTCATCTTGTAGTTCTCTCCATGCTTTACCATGGCGGCATGTTGTTACAAATACCAAGTCTTTGCCATTGTGTAAATGGTAGAGAGCATTTCTAGTTTCAGAACCTATGCCATAGACGTATCTTTTCCCTTTGAAAGCTGCAACATACTTTTTATTACTAGGAAAGTTATTTTCTAAAGCTTGACCTGGTTCCCCACCACGTTCTGGGTGTTGTTTACCAAATAATGGTATGGATACATCAAAGTCTGGTCTATGCCTAAAAATAGACATGCTGGCTTTTGCAAGCATAGCATATCCCAAATCAAAGGTTAACGATTCTTCCGCATAATCAGGCCATGTTCCAGAATACAAATTAAATATCAAATGATTTCTGCCATTGTTCCAATATGGTAAACGTGTTAATTTTGAAGGTAGGTTACGTGCAAATTCTGTTGATAATGGATCTCTATCTAATGTATCAAGAGCTAACACAAATATACATGCTCTAGTTGGATCTGATGTATAATATCTTGATTCCGTAATAACATTTAATATTTTTTGGTATAATGGACTTATCACATCTTCAACTGGATACACATACACTGTGAAACCTTGCTTGCATCTGGTAAAGTCAAAACAAGTCTCCATACGGCATTGTCCTGTATGCTGAGACATAAGTGGGTTTCCATTTGATGTTCTTAAATCCTTGTCATAGAATTCTTCGTTTAGACTTATGTATGAAGGCAATCGCTCGTAAGGCAACTGAGATCTGCCTGTCCACCTTTCACTTTTTAACCGGTAACCACCAAAATAACAATAACCAAGAAACGCACATGTTACAAATAATAATAAATAGCGCTTCTTGGCTTGCATTTTCAATGCAATCAGGTTATACTCAAATATACACTGATTCTAAACATTATTTTCACATGTAGAATACATGCATTTAATCATAAATGCATTGTAACGAATTTCTCATTAGTTCAATTTTGTAAATTCACAAATAAAAGATTATTCCAAAATGGAATTGATTTCATTCTTAAAGATTGCTGGAACAGAATAAAAAAAAAACAACTATTAAGATAACAGCACTTTCACATATGCATAAACTAATGCTTGTATAGCAACACTAACGTTAATAAAATGGCTTTTCCCATTATTGGTATCATACAAGAACACAATGCACTACATAATATTCACAGAATCTTTTTTACAGAGAAAATATCGATGTTGAAACACACGTTTAGTTACCTTCGAATTTTCAAGATTCGATATTGGTTATTGACTGGAACGTTTCGAGAGGTCTGATGATTATAAAATGCATGGCAAAAAACATGCTACTTCTATCGAAACGTCAGTTCTATTATAAATATTTATTCTACTAAAGTTTACAAAATGTCGAGTCTAAATGACAGATTGTAAACGTCGATGGACGCTGCCCTGAGTTAACCTATACGTGAAATATTACGGACGTTGCACCCGAGAGCGACAACGTCAAACATATCGAAGATAAAGTTCGATGATACGGGGACAAACAGCGTATCATACTTTTTCTTTTACAACAATTTTTTCCCCCCTCGTTACAACTGCACAGTGACCTTTTTTCTTAGGTTAGTTCTGACGTACGTCCAATTCGCAGAACTCGCCGGCGTTATTACGCCCATTCGCATTTTCGGTCGGCGTCACTACACACGCGTGACATCGATCGGAAAACGCCTCCAAGTGCAAAATCATTGCACGCAGCGCATTAAATAATTGGTTTAAAAAGCAACGCGAGTTATGCAATGACGTTGGAACGATTAGACTGGCAAATCGCTTATTGGTTACTTCATGCCGAGCTCTCCAGGATGTTTGATTGTGTATGAACTACTGCGAGCTACACACTACTACAAATCTAAACAAAACTGCCGATCAAGGTTACCCTGCTACCTAGCGGCTAACCGATAAAGCTCTCGAGCCGCTTCAGCCGCTTCGATTAAATTTATTAAAAGCACACATTTTTTTTTATTGCAAATCAATACCCTTTAAGACAGACACGTAGCTTAGCGCGAAACTTGTACGGTATCAATTAGAGCGAGGGTGACCATATTGCACAGAGAGATTGTGTTCTTCAAATATCGGAGACAAAACTTACAAATTCTTCTTGGCTTTTTTTAGCGGAGCAGCTTTTTGTTGTTCGCACAATTATAGTCTTGTAACAAAAGTTCGTTTCGATAGAAATTCAAGATATTTAGTCTTCGATGCAAAGTATTCCACGAGAACGTTCTATGCACTGCTTTACTGGTACAAGTGATGTAATAAACTGCATCGAAGTCAAGTATTATCCTGTCTCTGCAGAGAAACGAATATGTCACCTTGATCGTTGACACTTGCGATCATTTTTCTCAGTACGCATAACATTAGCATGCAGTCCGCGTAGAAATGTTTTTCAATATGCAATTTGCAAGCAGATATAGTGTAATCTCGCAGCAATGGGCATGTGTGTTTATCAATACGATTATTATATAGTAATATATGATAAGTAGCTTTCATTGTATTTAATGAATCATTCATATCCATATCTTTCTCGTTAAGATTTTTTAATTAGCCTTGGCGATTCGGTTTAGTTTCCGCGCATAGAATAGTGCTATTGGTTTATTGAAAATTAATTTAAGAAACGTTAGGAAGGAACCTTATAATACATTTTTTATATTAGTTTTATTTATACAGTATTTCAATAACATAATGTTACAAAATAAAGTAAAGAACAGAACATGGTATATTTAAAGGTAAAAAATAATTTTAATAGAATAATAAAATTTACATGTTATTTTCAAGTACAATATGATCTAAAGCTTCATTTCCTCTCTTACTAAATATCTCCTTTGTACATGGCCTACCATCGCCGTCATAAATTTTGAAAGGTTTTGATTTATTACGACTTCTAATTCTTTCTCTGGTGTCAGGGTTCATTCTTAATTGACGTTCTCCTACTACTGGCAATTCCACTGAACGTAGTAAATATTGTGCTGCTAGCTGACCACTTTCCATTCTAACTATTGCAGCTCTAAACATAATTTTTAGATTTATTTATTTTACAAATTATATAATCAACATACTTGAACTCGCAAGAACTTGTGACACTGTACCTAGAATTTTCTGAGTATGGTTTTAACATTTTTATAGACAGACAGCCTGGAATAGCTGCCCTCAGGTCCTGAATCTTTGTTCCACATTTGATGTTTGAGACGAAAATACTGTGAAAGATATCGATGTATTTACTTGTTGGTATTTTATTGTAACAACGAAAATCACGAGGAATACGTACTTTTTCGTCACTTTTACATCTTCTTTAATCTTTCCTGGGACAATTTTCTTTCGATTTATCGGCTTCGTTTCAACCTTCGTAACCGCAGGAGCAACTACTAGACGTTTTCCATTTACTTGTATGCCTTTAGCGGCTTTCAAGTTTTTCATTTTTTCTTTCACATCGGAAAATATTACGTAGCAGTATCTGCTAGATTGCCGTAGAAGGTTTACCTTGAAATTACCAGTAAAAAATTTTGCCACATCCTCCTCCTTTTTTATCGTATGCGGAAGACGAACATATAGAGCTCTTTCTTTTTCCTTCTGTCGTTTTTGTCTCTTTTCCTCAAGCTTCTTCATTTTTCCCCCCGATACTAATTCCATTTGTGATAAAAAATGAACATATTTACAGTAATAATAACCACGCGTTCTTATAATGTTAGGTTATATTTATTTCGAAGTGATGTTTAAAAAGCTATATAAACACAAGATGCGTGAACTCGAGCACGTGCGTAAACGATACCGTACACCAATTCGTCGGTTCCAACGAGGAAAGGTCAAAGAGGACAAACTCTACATAGAAGGTTCGCAATGCCGTGTTAACCGCGACTTAACCAATTGTCATTGAGGATATTTAGTTCGAAAAATAATGATTGGTTTCTGGCCCATTCTGTGATGGTATGTAAAATCGATGAAAGCGACATCTGTTCACCATTGTGAACTAGTAAAAACGTAAGAAGTCACAGATGGCCGTCTCAAATCAACAACCGGTGCAGTGAACGAGTAAAGTGACGCGGTTATGTACGCAAAACAATCGCGTCAGACGTGTAAAATGTCGTGAAACATGTAAGGAGTTGTTATTGTGAGTGGCGTCGCGTTGAATTTTACGTTTTATTTTTGTTCCGCAACCACCATAACGACCAGAAGTGAAAGCAAGTACTTGGCCCGATCTGCCGTTGCTTTTACCAATTGGTTTTATCGTCGGTGACGTACGGCTTGGGAGCACCGAGGCCAAACACGAGTCGCCGTTCGAGGATGAGCGCGAACAATGTGCAAGCGCTTTTCGCGTGTTCCAGATGCTTTTCCAGGCATCCGTTCGAGGAACTTTCCCCGGGGCAACAGTTGTGCAAGGTATCGTCTGCGCTTTCGGTGGTTTACACCGAATTTCCGTCGCGCTCCAACTGATACCTTCTGAGCGTCACTTTTCGTGTTTGCAAGATACGATGCTAATAATAGAACTTTTAATTCAAATGCGCGTTTCACATGTTATTGACGCTGTTTTGCAACGATGCAACTCCTGAAATATGAGTTTGTTTAATATTCAGTTTTATACGCAAACCCGCTTCTTTTTTTATTTCTTCCGATATGTAGAACGATTAATCACGTTAATCGAGCATTTTTGCTTCGAGATTGTTTTAATTTAACAAGAGCTTTCTCTTGGTTTTAATGATTATTTTTTTCTTACAGTATTGTGTGTTTTGTGCAAAAACTTGAATAATGTGTAAACTGGCTGAATGTAAATATATGTACTGTATACTTTTATAATTGTGCTTCTTTTTTTTAATAAATTTTTACTATATTGTGTTGCTTATTTAGGAATGCAGAGGTGCATTTCCAGTGGTGAAATGTACATATTGTAGGTCAGAATTCCAGCAAACAATGTAAGCAGTATATGTTTTGTTTGAAATTTAGTCGGAATTTTTCCAGATTTATCCTCCAAAACAGTCTTCTTTTTACTTCACAGAAAGGGTAATACAAGCACTATATGTAAAAAGTGTGAGCAGAATGTGAAATCTTATGGTAAACCATCGGCCTGTGAATATTGTAATACCATAGCTGCATTTATCGGTAGTAAATGTCAGCGATGTACAAACTCTGAAAAACGATATGGGCCACCAGTTACATGCGAACAATGCAAACAGAAGTGTGCCTTCGACAGACAAGATGAAGATAAAAAGGTAAAATTTTTCTAAGGTAAAAACAGAAACCCCTTTATGAGAATGATAATTATCCATGTGTTGATTATAGGTCGATGGAAAGTTATTATGTTGGCTGTGTACACTGTCATACAAACGTGCACTGGCAAAAACGAAACAGTCTGACGCTGAGAGAAGGGCACATTTGAAACTAGCACAACAACGAGCAGCAAAGCACAAAGAACAAAAGTAATTATCCAAATGCATAATGTCGCAAGGTAACTTTGTGCTTAGTAGCTTTAATTGTGTTCATCACAATTTCAGTATCTCTTCGATGTAAGACAACCTGGTAACGTATTGTTATTTCGGCGCGTGTTCGTAGTGATTTCATCCATTTTGCTTCAGATTGAAAAGTCACAATAAGAGACCACACAGAGTAGATGTTACGAAGCTGCCGCCTCAGTCTGATGGTGCAGACACGAATGGCCCAACGCCGGTGAAAGCAGCGCGGATGGCTGGCGTACACGATCCACACGATCCCAACAGTTCGGATCACGTAGTCGCGGTTACTCAACTCAAAGAAAAGATAGCCCATCTTCAGAAACAAATCTCGATCAAGGATGGTCAATTACTCGCTAAAGATAGACAAGTACGTATATATGAAGAGATAGGGAAGAAATCGATCGTACCGAAACCAGTACTAATCGTGTTGGAACTGTTTGGTGTTCGCAGATTACAGAATTGAAAGCGAAAAATTTCACATCGGAAACAGAACTGCGCAACAAGATGAAGGCAACGGAAAAGGAGTACGAAACCAAAATATCGACGATGCAACACAAGATTTCCAGTTTGTTGAAAGAAGTTGCTTCCTTATCGAAGAGCTCTAAGCGGGGCGACAGAGTAGCTGCCACGAAAACAGAAGCTGGGACCAACAGTGGAAGTGGAACAGACAGTCCTGTACCTTGATAAGGTAGGACAATTCCAATCCTCATTATATTCTTTGTCAATTAATTGTTCAAACGATCGTATTCTATATTTTACATTTTAATCCGTCGACACTACATATTTACAACAATAATAAAATGTAATTGACTATACTTAGCCGTTTGGAATGGTATCTTTTATTTTTTGTGATTTAGCGTTCGTGGCTTCTTAATGTTTCTGATAAGAGCCACACGTTATCAGGATTCCATTTTTTGCGCTTTCAGTTGTGATCTATTGTTTCCAAATATGTGTACAAGAATGTAATTAATATTCGCTACCTCCCTCCTATATTTTCATACTATGTTGTGTTCTTGTTGGAGTGATTTTTATGGATTTACGTTGCTCACACCTTTTCTTTCACCCTTCACACGTTTTAGCGGGAGAAAAAAAATTACGCGTTTGACGGCAATAGGAGACAGCGAGTCCGTTAATTTCTTCTTTCTTCTTCTTTTATGGTTTGATAATACGATTAAATCGGATGTTTCGAATGCACCGAGACTCGTAGTACCGGCGATAATTTACGTTTACTCTTTCCACGATTACTCAAGATAGCACCGTGTCAATCCGTTTCTTTATTTTCGCGTGTTCCAAACAGCAATGTCGTTCTTAATGCAAAAAGAGTAAAAAAAAAAAAAAAAAGAAACAAAAACGTGTAATTTTTGTAGGAGATGAAAGACATATCTTAAAATTGTTTTCAGGGTTCTTGGTTAGCTGTGACAACATACTCAAATGTCCATACCCGCATAAATCATGTGGCATATTACATATAGCTAATTGTTTCCATTAACAAGGCAAAATCTGTATTATTTTTCTAATTAATATAGGAATGTATATTATCTTCGACGTGTACACGGAAAGTCTTGCGCGTTCTTCTAACGGGGGATGGTGATGATGATGGTGATGGTGATGCAAGTGCAAAAGAGAGAAAAAAAAAATAAGAGTGTTATTCGTAAGTTAGGTAGCTTTCCCCCTATTTTGTTCCGTTTCTTCGACCATCCCGCGGACGCGTGTTTGTTTTTTACGACGAAGAGATCGCACGTAATCGAATTGTACAATAAAAAAGAAAAAAAAAAGGAAATCGGAGAGAGGGGCATTTTCGGTCCGATAGAAGTAATTTTTAAACTTTACGATCGAAAGTTGATTAACTTACGAGAAACGAACAGAGTTATATGCAGACACAATGAAAATAGACGCACACGCATGAGACCATATACACACACGGATACACGAACACACGCACACGTTCGTACAGACACAGACATACACAGACACACAGACATACACTACTAATTGAGCAATAGTGCTGCTGTAACATTTTTCCTATTTATAACGATGAAAGATGTAATACGACGATGAACCAGGATATGGTGATTGTAGATCAATTTACAATAAAAGGTTAAAAATGAACATACCTCGCCTTATAAGTTTTGAAACATATCCTTTGGACTTCCTTCCTATTCGAAGGATCCGTCTTTCGACGTGAACGCCACGTACGTTTAAATAATTTTAAGGAGGGCTCAAACGATGAATGATTGGACATACCGTGTCTTTGCTTAATATAAAGAGAGAGAGGTGTGAATGATAGGTAGTGATATGTGCATATAAATATCCAACAGCCATATATTTATTCTTTATTTTAAGAAACAAATGCTAATTGAGCATTACCTATTCAATAATTGTAATGATAATAAATGCGTAACAATTTACTATATACGAAGTGTAAGGATAATTAACATTTAATTTATAGTCGTTTAAATACGTACGAAGTGTGTACACGTGTGTACAAGTACAGTTTGGAGTTATCGTTTTTTTTTTCTCTTTTCGTTTTAATTATTACGAGATGGTAAGAACTAAATATTGCTTGTATTTTTTGTTGTCGAGGCGGTTAGTCGCTTGATTCCCCCGATTATCTACTTTCAGCATATTTACACGATCTTCTTTAGTTCTCCATCATTCTCTACACACCGTTCTCTTTCGTCTTCTGTATTTTCTCTTCTTTTTTTTTCTCTCTTTCTCGCAACTTAAATCTTACTTGATAGGTTCATCTTTCTCTCTCTCATTCTTTCTAACTTTCTCTCTCGCTCTCTCTTCCATTTATTCGTTCGTTCGTTCGTTCGTTCGTTCATCTATCTCTCATTCGATCTTTCTTTCTCTCGCTCGCTCTCTTTCTCACATCTCTTCACCTCGTTATTTATAATAGTGCGTTTAATGCAGGCAAGGTAGGAAATCGAGGCAATATACAGAATGACAATCGACAAAACGTCACTGGAAACCATTTCCCCAACATCGATATTGTACTTTGAGCATGTAAAAAAATATACGTGACATCGGTCGATTCGGTAATCAACACTTTTGCGATCGCCCGAGCTGGTGTGAATCATTGTCAGACATCTATTAGGATTCATTCAGGCTTCGTATAATTCTATCCAGTGTGTGTGTGTGTGTGTGTGATCGCTGCAACATTTGCAATTTCCGATGAACACTGTTCAACAAGTAGTAGCAGCACGGTCGCAAAAGTATCAAAATTAATGGTTGGAATGTACATCTGCTTGTGTGTCTGACGAAGTACAAAACGAATGGTGTGTACATATGTGTGTCGAACGAATGGTAGAATGTTTTTCTCTCTCTTTCACGCAGGTTCTTTTTTTCTTTTTGTTTTTTCCGCTTTTTTCTGTTTTCGTTTTTGTTTTTCGTTTCCAATGTCGTTTTCACGGCATAAAATAAATGCAGGCCTAAATCCACTACCGGAAGTCAACATCGTAGAATCTTTTCAGTCTTTCTCTACGATCTTGACGCGATCACGATAGTATCCAGCGTCCTGCGCGTGTCTCGATTCATCAAATACACTTCGTATCTTTCAATTTTCATTTCGGCCTAGGCATTCGGTAGAATGCCCGAGTCTTCCACATTGCCTGACAACGTATTTTGCAAAAATCAGCGTAAAGGCCTTGCGAATCATACCGTTTCTTCTTCTTTTTTCTTTTCTCTCCCTCTCTCTCTCTTTCTCACTTTCCAAATTATCTCCTCGCGTTTACTCTTCCGCAGATTTCTCACATTCTATTCTCTTCTCCCGTGGAGTAGTACGTATTAACAACGGAGATTCGCCGGAAATTAAAAATGAACATTTTTCCTTCTTTCGAAGCTGCCTTAAAATTATCACGCGTCGAAGTATCGTTTCCCGGATATTACAGAGGATATTCTGCTGTGTATTTAAAAAAAAGAAAAACGGGACAGCGAAAACGGAAGAAGCGAAGTAACAAACGATCAGTTCCAAGAGAAAACCTAATGAAATCTTAACGACGAGCACCATGATATTTCGCAGGAACCATAGAACTTGTCATTTGTTTCCAAGCTGTTTAAAACGGATAGACGATGGATAGCAGTAGCGATTAATTATTGGAACCTTTGGATTTTTCTGTTTCGCGTTTCTGTGTTTCAATCTCTTCTGAAACTCAGGCATTTATAAGAAAAAGGGAAGTTTCGAATACTATTGTAAATGTCCACGAACGCGCTCTCTGCTTCTTGCCATTTCTCGTCACTCTTTAACTTTTCCCTCTCTCTGTGTTTATTTCTTATCTTTTTTTTTTTTGGTTTTTTTTTTGTAGATTTTTTCATTTTTTTACTCGGATTCTCGGTTCGCCTTTGGAGTTTGTATCGCGATGCACGTATAGCTTCTTTAGAATTTTCTTATTTTTTTCCTCTTATGTTCTCCTTTTTATAGACGATTGATAACCGTGCGTTATATCAGTCTGCGATACGTCGTAATGCGCGCGGTCGTTATCGATCAGGGATTGCAGCGTCGCCTCGTTTCCTGTTCTGCTTTTGCCTTAAAAATTCAATTTAGAGGACGCGCGTGAATCACCGATCGATCGCAACCTTCGTTTTATCGCGTCTAATTTGGTAGGCTGCGCTTTTTCTCAGTGACTTCGACTGTCGACGATTTCTCGGCGCTTAAAAATTAGTGGAAGTACGAGTCACGAATGTTTTTCTCCGTAGAAACCAATGGAAGATACGTATGAAATGGAAAAAAGAAAATATATGAATATATAGTACGTTCGAATTGTTTCGTCGATAAAAATTCTCTTGGTCGATCGTTCGAACGATTCGATCGTCGAACGATCCACCTGGTGATCAGTATTACAATTATCAATGTCGTTTTTTCACTTCGTTTTCTCGATAAAAATGAAACAACAAACTTATCGTTCATTCTTTGCCGATTACACGTAATCGTAATGCGAGTTAATTTATACTGTACACCTAGAAAGATACAATTGTTTATACGTGCTAAGAAACGTTTAACGTTCAAAATCGAAGCGTGAAGTTAAGAATTAGTTTTTGTCGAGGCAAGGCTCAAGCAGGATCTTGCGGCTTAATTACGCGAAATATTACCTCACGAGACACGCGGTGTGTTAATTTCCTTTCTTTTCTTTTTTTTTTTTTCGTTTTTCTTCTTTTCTTTTGACTAGATTTTCATCCCACGCGTTCAACGAAATTTCAGCGAAATTTTCTCTGCCCGATGTTCCCGTGTTTAGTGTGCGCTTTCGACTTGTTCCCAAAGAATGAAAAATCACCGCATGAGCCTCCCTCAACACACCCGGACCGATCCAGTTCGTTTCTACGCCGGCGGTGAAATCGATGGCCTTACAAATGAATTTAACGCCTCCTCTTCGGAAATACTGCGCTTCGAGCGCGTGCTAATCCCCACCGGTTACTCTCATATCTTCCTTCGAAATTAATCAGCTGCGTTTATTTCTTTTATCGTGCTTCGATCGTGTTTTACAACGCGGCGACGAGCAAACGAGTTTTGTGCGCGATCGCGATAAGACGAGAAAGATAAAACGTTTCCATCCGTCGAACGGCCAACCGTTGGTGGCTGTGCGGCGATTAAGATCGACCATTTTCTCGATTAGATCGTATCGGCGTTTACGGTGAAAACGATAGAGAGAAAGGAAAACCCGATCGACTGTGAAACGAGAAGAACAGAGCGTCGCGAAATAGGTAAAACAGCGAGGGGAGGAAGAGAAACAAAGATTGGTTCGCGTGGACCGAGAGAACTATGCATTCCGTTTTGAAAATTCCACGACAAAAAGGGCGCCTAAAAAATATATATATGTTTATATATATATATATATATATGTATATGTTATGTATATGAACGTGTATAAATATAGATATAGATACTCGATCACCGAAAGCATTGTGTCCTTTTTTTTTCTTTTTTTCTTTCCGTAAACGTGTTCAATTACGAGTACGCGTTGCAATAAATTACCTAACTTCCGACAAAAGGTCTTTTTTTCGTTCCTGTTCAAAAAGGATTGTTACCGTAGAGCGCAGCCTACCGTGTTCTTTTTCTTCTTCTTTGCTCTCTTTCTTTTTTTCTTTTTTACTCGCCAACCGACGACGATTGTTTACATATACATATATAAAGGTATTCATAAATTAGAGCTCCTTATATTAATTACCTTTTTTTTTTTCTTGTTAAATTATCGAATAATTAATAGTAATGTTAGTATATACAGGTACAGGTCTCGTATAGTTGCAGTCGTGTCGTCACTGGTTTCTTTTTTTTCTCTTTCGCTCGATCATTCGCGTCTCTTGTTGTTCGCACGCGCGCGCGCTTCTTTCTCTTCTGTGCTGGCGGGTGCCGACAATGTCCGCCATCTTTCACTTTCAAACCGCCTTAAGCTCGAACGCGTAGAAAATGGTACCGTGATACCGCGAGGGGGAAGAAAAAGCAAGGAAACACGTCCGGGGTTCCCCGTCTTCTTTTTCCGACTCTTTCGATTTCGAAGAAAAAAAAAGAAAAAAAAATTGGAGAAAGAATATTGTAAAGTTCGATTCACATACCTCGATGTGTTTTTCTTTTCTTTCTTTTTTTGTTTTTTTTTTTTGTTTTTTTCAATCGCTCGAAGGCGTGCGTAGGTAGAACGTAACGAAAGTTACGTCTTTGTCGCATCGTTTCGTTTTTCGTTCGATATAGAAATGTTGCCTCTTAGCCGAACGATGGAAGTTATCTTATGGAAGTGTTGAGCGATCTGTGTACGAATAGAAAAAGTAACGGCACGGTTGTACCACGTTAGTACGGTACCTTTTCTAAGCATCGCCTTAGGATAGACCGTGGAAGGATAATCGAGAAGCTCGAACGACATTTGGCGTGCTCGCTTTTACTCTCGATTCTATCCGGTTCAAAATGGCAGCGTGTGTCTGTTGTGTGTTTGTGTGACGACTCGAGACTTTAATCCTATCGTTCGTTTCGTTTCCTTTTCGCTCACTCTCTCTCTCTCTCTCTCTCTCTCTCTCTCTCTCTCTCTCTTTCTCTCTTTTTTGTTTTTTTTTCTCGTTCATCTGTTTCACCTTTTCTCTGTTTAGATTCGTCTTCGTTGGTGGCGCTACCATAGAAAAAATATAGAAACGAGTATTTACAAGGAAGGAACTTTGTGTTATGCACGTAGCTGGAATCCACGTCGATTCGTCCACCCTCGTCAGTGAAATCGAACTTGTCTCGCGTTTTACGATGTTTTCTTACGTACGTAAAAAGTAAGACCAGCTTCCAGGAAGAGAGTATCTACTAAAAGCTTCTGTGTTTTTTTTTTCTTTTTTTTTTCGTTTTTCACATTTGTTTTCTCGTTAATTCCTTCGTGTTAACAATAACCAAGCAACAACGTTTTTTAACAACTTTCCAATTACTTGTGTTGCACGTAATTCTCACTCACTTTGTTCGATCGTATAATATTCTCCACGATCAATATCCTCCACCCTTTCTTCGTTTCGTCTCCTTTTTATACATTTTACATTTTACACGCTGCTTACGACGAATGAAATTAAGAAAAAGTACGGTTCAGAAAAGATTCCTCTCTGTGTTCCCTTGATTCGTCGAAGGGGAAACGTATAAAACGAGTAATGGTGTTCCCACACTACCACCTCACGAGGGCAACGTCGTTTTCGTTTGTCGTGAGCAACTCGTTTACTATTCCACGGCTGGATTCTGCGCTTGAGCGAAAGGGCTCATACCCCCGTTCTTAGGTGCACTCGATTATGTGAGGCTGGGAGGTCTCTATGACGCTTGGACGTCCCACTGAATTCTCCAGGTTGTGGAGAGACGTAGAGTGTGGCCCGTGTGTGGATCCATGCCTCTCGTAATTATCGATGTGCTCCAGTTCGCATTCCTTCGGCATGTTTCCTGCAATCACAGGAAAACAATCTCCTTCAAGACATTTTTCTCTCCGTCTAATTGTATCACTTTCGTCTCTCATTGACGAACGAACGGAACGTCGCTGAAGAAAAAGAAAGAAAGGAAGCGCGTGCTTCTTTATTCACTTACCGACATTCATGTCAGGCCCATACTCGTAATACGTCGGCGAACCCACTGCCGCGGCAAGGGCAAGCTCGTCCTCGATATTATTCGGCCTGCAGCTGGTCGTTTTCCAGTGGGTCCTAAGGCCACTCGCGCTAATGTACTTCTTGTCGCAGCCTTGGCAGGTGTACGGCCTTTCGTTCGTGTGTAACCTCTTGTGCAGCTTCAGGTGAACGAACTGGGTGAATTTCGCGGGGCACAGGTCACAGGCGTAGGGCTTTTGGCCGGAATGCAGTCTCAGGTGGGTCTTTAGGTTCGAGGTTGAGCTGAACCTCTTCTTGCAGATCTCGCATTGATGTGGTTTTTCACCTGTAATCGTCGAATCAGCAATCCCTCTCGATCCGAATCTTCCACTTTAAAATTACACACGCATATAAATGAAATGAAAACACTTACCTGTGTGCACGAGATGATGCTTCTGCAAATGGGCCAGCTGTGTGAAGCTCTTGGTGCACACGTTGCACTTGAACGGTCTCTCCCCGGAATGAGTCCTCAGGTGTACCTTGAGATTTGACAGCTGGCCGAATGTCTTGCAGCAGACGTTGCACTCGTAATGCATTTTCCCGTCTTTCTTCTTCAACGGGTACGGCAGCGACCTGTAGCCCCTGGACCCTTGCGAGTTTGGACTCAACGAGCCACTCTGCGAGCAGCCGTGATCGTCCGGAGACAAAGAACTCGCCGGTGAATATCTGTTTAGCGAGGAGGAGTTGGCGTGAATGGTGAGGCCAGGATGGTGACCCAGGTGAAGATTGTGCGTGCCAGCGATCAACGTCTGATTAGTGTCGATCTGCATCGTCGACGAGGTGGGCAACTGGTGGCTGCTCGTTGCAGCCTCCAGTCTTCTTCCATCTGCCCTCTCGTAGACCACGTTTCCGCTAGGAGTCGGCGAGTAGGCGGTGCAGTTAATGGACAAGGGCGCCACGTTGTGATGCAACGAGCCATTCTGATGATAGATACCGTACGGATAGGACGAAGGTGATTGAATCGGTGAAATAGGCGAGACACTCTGGTTGCTGCTCGCCGCTGAGTTAGGATACACCGGGCTGGAATCGATCTGACATCCTCCGGAACTCGAGTACAGTATCGTAGGAGTGGATGCACCTGTAGGATTGGCAGAGGGCGATGGACTCTTGGTCTTCCTCTTGGGTGGACAGCTACTAGACGTCGTTGACGAATGAAGATTACTGGTGGACGTCAGTATCGTGCTAGACGATAGAACGTTCACGTTCGAGTGGTGACTGTTCGTGTTGCTGGACGAATGAATGGTCCCTGGGTGAGATTGCAGGACGTTGCTCGGGCCGGTACTGGAATGCAGATTGCCCGTACTCGAGTGTAGACTCCCCGTACTCGAATGCAAGTTACTCGTTGGACTTTGCATCGGTAGCGTGCTGTTACCACTGGTAGAATTAACACAGGTATCCGCTTGCATAGGTAGATTCGAGCTGGAGTCAGGACTGCACGGTAGAATGTTCCCGTAGCGGTGAGATTTTTTGTAGGAGTACGCCATCTCCGTTGGACTGGATGGCGGTGGAGTAACAGAGTCCACGTGAGTCTGATGATGCATTTGATGCTGTTGATGATGCTGCTGTTGGGCTCCATTGTGATGATGGTTGTGACTGTTGTTGTTGTTATCGGTGCTGCTACGTAGGAGGATGTTTTCAAGGATGGAACTGCTCGGGCTGGTTAGATAGGCTGGTCTGCCGGAAACAGGCAGATTACCCTTGACCTCGGACTCGTAGAAAGGCTTCGGATTCTTCTCCGGAATCTCGTCTTCGTTCACGGTGGATAGAACGGCGTTCTTCTGTAGAACAATTATGGGGGACACAGGCTTCTGCAATTCTGGGGTCACCGCTCTGCTGGGTAGTTCTTGATCTTTGTCCTTTCCGTTCGCGTCCAGGCTCTTCGACGTCTGAAAGTTCCCGTAGGTCTTTGTGATCTTGATCTTAACCTTCCTGTACTCGTTCTTCGCCGCTGCATTGTCCTGCTTGAGCACCTCGTTGCTGCACACCGACGTCTTCGCGTTTTTGCTGAAATCCAGCACGTAGTTGTTCTCCGAGTCTGACTCGCTGCTTTCTTCCGGGGGCGTGAGGATCTCGTCGTGATAACCGTTCGAATGGTAGCCCTCGTCTGATCTAACGGAACCGTCCGTTGGAGTCATTTGAGAACGTCTCTCGTAGATCGACGAGTCTTTCAACGGCGACACCACGTCCACCGCGGGTGGGATTTCGGTTGGTAACGCAGACTGTTGTACTTGTTGTCCTGTAACGGTACGAAATAATAATGGTCACGTTGAAGTGTCAAGTGAACCAGATAGATATCGGTATATCGCACTCACGTATTCTTTGAAGCATTAGTTCACCCGTCAGAGGGTAATTGAGCCTTTCAGCGAACTCTCTGCAATACCACACCAGAAGCTCTTGGTTCGGTAGTATCGGCTTGATTGTGTAAAAATAAATGTTCATCTGGAAAAGGCAAGGACGATCGAGATGAGCATCGATCCGATTATAGACCGTATACACACGTGGCTGAACAGCATCAATTCGACTCACCTTATACTGGCATGCTATTAGGTTCTGCGATTCGGACGAATAAGCCGGGTTTACGTAACGCATCCAATTTGATTTCTGGACGTCGTAACCGTCGATGTAGTAGAACAGCTCGTTGTTCTTGTACACCTATCGTGAGGAAAAGGTATAAACCTCTCGGTTTGGAAGTAACGTGTGCGATTTGAACGATGACATTTATAATAGAGGAAACGGAATGATATATGGAGATGAAACCTTAACTAAAGTATAGAAGTAGAAACTAAATCTTTCGTGGTTTCGAAGTGGTGGTTAAAGCATGGAAATATCGGCGATTTAGCAGGGAGAATCGAGAGAGGGAACCAAGTCTCTCTATCATAACTCATCAATTCGTTACGAGGCATCAATGGCTTCGCGAGTTTCGCTTTAAGGCTCGCTTAGATCGGCTGAAACCAGTTTCTGGTCTTTGCAGGCTTCTCTCTCTATCTTCCTCTTCC